GAGTGGAGCAGGAGAGATCGAAAACTGCTAAGTCCTTTATATATAGCAAGAGCATCGGTCCCGGTTGGTGGCTCCAACCGGGACTAATGCCCCCTTTCGTCCCGGTTGGTGCCACCAACCGGGACCAAAGACCTCTTTTCAGTAGACCTAAGGGCGGGAAACGAAGACCTTTGGTCCCAGTTGGTGGCACGAACCGGGACTAAAAGGGGGGCATTGGTCCCGGTTGGTGGCACCAACCGGTACCAAAGAGTGGCATTGGTACCGGTTGGTGCCACCAACCGGTACCAATGGACCCGTCTAACTACTTTTTTATTTTCTGCAGCTGTTTTTTTGTTGATTCTTCCTGCAGCTGTTTTTTTAGTCCCACCTCGCCAAGCGGGAGGCACTCGCAGCTGTTTATAAGCCCTGAGTGCAGAGACGATGACGAAGAGGCCTAATGCTCCTGCACGTTGGTTAGCTTCAAGCCTTGAGGAATACGGTAGACTGCACAGAGCTATGTGCAGTGCAGTTGACACTATTCCGAAAGGCTTGAAGCAAATTAACAAGCATTGCGCCTCTTTTTATTTTTAATGACTTATTACAACTGAGAAATAAAAAGAAAAAAATAAATATAGCTGAAAAGAAAAAAAACTATATAGAAAACTACTCAGAAATGAATTGAAGCAAAAAATAGTTGTGATTAACTGTACTAAAAAAGGAGCATAGATGCTTATTTTTAATGACTTATTACCACTCAGAAATAAAAAGAAAAAATAAATATAGCAGAAAAGAAAAAAAACTATATAAAAAGATACTCAGAAATGAATTGAAGCAAAAAATAGTTATGATTAACTGTACTAAAAAAGGAGCATAGATGCTTATTTTTAATGACTTATTACAACTCAGGAATAAAAAGAAAAGAAAATAGTTGTGATTAACTTTACTAAAATATGAGCATAGATGCTTATTCTTAATGACTTATTACAATTAAAAAATAAATAGAAGAAAAAATAGTTATGATTAACTTTACTAAAAATGAGCATAGATGCTTATTTTTAATGACTTATTACACTGAGAAATAAAAAGAAAACAAATAAATATAGCTGAAAAGAAAAAAAACTATATAGAAAACTACTCAGAAATGAATTGAAGCAAAAAATAGTTGTGATTAACTGTACTAAAAAAGGAGCATATATGCTTATTTTTAATGACTTATTACAACTCAGAAATAAAAAGAAGAAAAAATAGTTGTGATTAACTTTACTAAAATATGAGCATAGATGCTTATTTTTAATGACTTATTACAATTCAAAAATAAATAGAAGAAAAAATAGTTATGATTAACTTTACTCAAAAATGAGCATAGATGCTTATTTTTAATGACTTATTACAACTCAGAAATAAAAAGAAAAAATAAATATAGCAGAAAAGAACAAAAATATATAAAAAGCTACTCAGAAATGAGCATAGATGCGCTTATAGAGAAAATTCAAATTAAATTCATAACAAATTTCATGAGAAATTCGTATGAATTTAGCCTAAATTTCCTATATAAGGGCATCTATTTTCATTTTCAGAGAAGCTCAATAAGGCAGAGAGGGAGGGGCTTATAAACCGGTCTGATTCCCCTCCGGTTGGCGAGGTGGGACTAAACTTTGGCCACAACAAGGACCAACCCTTTAGTCCCGGTTGGTGGACTGGACCGGGACTAATGGTCGTCCTTTGGTCCCGGTTCAGGCCACCAACCGGGACCAATGATGGTGGGCCAGGAGCGAGGGTCATTGGTCCCGGTTCGTCCCACCAACCGGGACCAATAGGTCCAGACGAACCGGGACCAATGGCCCACTTGGCCCGGCCGGCCCCTGGGGCTCACGAACCGGGTCCAATGCCCCCATTGATTCCGGTTCTGGATTGAACCGGGACTAATGGGCTGGACCGGCCTGGACCATTGGCCCCTTTTCTACTAGTGTGTCCACCGACACGTCCGTATGCGTTCACGGACAGATAATGATTCGAATTTTAAGAGATGTTGGTTGGAGATGCCCAAACTCATGCATGGCAAAGCCACACGCACAAAAATAAACCGAGGCCAAGGATTCTCCACCTGGCATGCAGCTGCTTTGCTGTGTGATCTCCTCCAAGAGGACGGCTCCCTAATCATCACGTTGGCCAGCACCGGGCGACTGTCCACGTAACTGCTCCCGCATGCACCGTCGGCCGCAACTACGTTGCCGTCGGGGATCGGGCGTCTAAATGATTTGCATTAGCAGCACCTAACACCCCACCACGCTCGTATAAGGACAGAAGAATAGTACTAGGAATCCTAGGTAGCAGCAGCTAGTGGGTGAATGATTGAGCTATGCTTGGGTTGGGTAGATAATCAGATCCTTCTTCAGCACTGGCACAGACCAAATCTGCACTGTTTTTATTTCTTTGATAGAACCTGCACAATTGAAGGACAAATTGTAAGAAAAAGTTCAGGTTTTTTAATGCTTTGCTTGTGTGTATACTACTATTACATGTGTTGCACAGGCCAACAGGTTACCAGCACGATACTCTACATGATTTGGTAGGCTGCGTCGATGCCTTGTCCTGAACAGAGGAAGCAATTCCGGCAAAAAAAATAAAAAGAATATCCGAAAAGAAATGCAAAGAAACACTGGTTGAACCATTCTACCATTCTGAACTCACCCGCACCAAACGACATGTAGGTACCACCGTACCAAATCAGAGCAACGACCCGTCGAAAACAAAATGTATGAGCATGAAGATTGCGAGCCATATGCCGGCGGTCTCCATCTGATGCATAGAGGACATATAGGTGGTCGCCCCCGATCTAGGAAACATTCTTCCTAGCCTGGAGGAGGCTTCAGCTCCAGAGTTGTCCTCTGCTGGGTGTAGGTCAGGTGTAGCATCAGTTCAATTGTAGTATGGTAATCCAGAATGGCCTGAAGCTTTTGGCGTGCAGGCAACCAGACAAGAGACTAGTGCATTTGACAAAGGAAAGCTAACTAACTATTGGAAAATATATTTATCTATGTTTAATGATGTGCTACCTCATGTGATGTGTAGAAAACCTCTCCGCAATTACAATCTGGCTTCAGAAACAAGCGAAGATAGAGCTCATGAGTAAGATTATTGGAATTTAATATCAACGGAACTCGCGTCGCACCGAGAAGACAGAACTCTCCGGCATTCTGACCGGCAAATTAACACAACATCAAAAAGCATATAAGATGAGTGTGCAATCCACTCGGCGATGAGTAATTTCACCTCGGCAAAAGCTCCGCCGAGCGTCTATGCGCACTCCGCGTATACCACGGTATTACAGTTGCGTATTGCTTAAATTGCATTTTTTTATGTTTGACCTTGATCATACATGTCAGCATATAAACATTCCATCTTTATATCCGTAGACTGTTATTCAACTGCATCTATCACTAATTGTGCACTTCAAGAACAAAATTCATCATACATCTCAAAGTATTAAGTAATAAAACAGAGCCCTGCATCAAGCAAGGTGACATAGTGTTGATAGTACATTCTCTTTACCTTCGGTCCATCAACTAGACAACTAGGCTACTATCTTGTTTATCTTTAGTGACAATAACACACTACAAGCCTTTTTGGTCTTTCTGCCACTCAGCTAGATTACTTGGAAGATTAAACCCAACCAACATCCAAAACTCTATCTTAGAGATCAATAATGCAAACGTGGCTAGTGCAAGACTAATAGATTAGAGAACATGTACATATACATATCATGCAACAAAGAACCAAAACAAACTAACAAATAATCTATATACATATTCTGGTTTTAAAGTGATAATTCATTACACCAAAAATTACATCCGATTGATCACACAATCATGTTAGATAGCTCATGAGATATTTGTATCGAAGAACTGGGGAGAGATGCCAATAAGCTATTGCTTTGGACCCATAGTCCAAGGCGCGCTACCTGCACATTGTCATCGGTGCGACAAAGTTGATGAGACAGCGGTGCGAAAGTTTCCACATATTCATGGTTGGGTTGGGGAAGGGGGTATATAAAGGAGTCAGGACGAAGAGGCACTAGGGGGAGGTATTCTCCAATCATGGATGTTTGTGTAGTCTTTGGATATATAGGGCCTCCATCATCTTACGTTATTTATCTACTTCTACTTTTTTGTATGACCTCCTCTATCTTAGGTTATTTATAGGTAAATTGCAAAAAACCACCACAATTTTAGGCTAGGACAGTGTCAGCATCCGACGGCCTTAAACCAGGCCATCGTCAATTCTACGTGTAGCGATGACACCGGCCGCGCCAGGCTCCACAAGTCGTCGTCGTCGGACCCGGTGACAGAGGGAATGTGTAGCGTGCCATCGCGGGAGTAGGAGGTGGCACCACCGAGCTCGTCGGCGATGTAGAACATGTCATTGGTCGTCTCGTCCAGTGTGGGGTTAGAGAGGCCGTTGAGCTCGTAGGCGGCGAGACGCTCGAGAGCTTCCCAGTCGCTGCTGTACTCGGACGGCCGGGGCAGGAGCCCGCCGGGGATGACATGCTCGAGCGGTGGGAGCTTCATGAACTTGTCGTACAGGGTGCTGGTGCCGTTGTGGCACACGTTGTTGATCAAGTGGTCCAGCGCTGACGATGACGGGTTGGCGGGCTTGGTCTCCTGCTTGCACGATGCTATGGATGAGCGGCCCATGTAGCTGAGGATGTGGTCGAGCGCGTCGTCGCTGTGCGGCAGGTGCTGCTGCTGGTGCATCTGCGCCTTGGCCTTCTCGCTGGCCGCGGTCACCGTCGACGAGCAGTTGCTCTGGCTATGCTCCATGGCACCGGCGCCGACCAGCTTGTTGGACGCTACGCCACCGCCGCGGTTCTGACCAGCTTGGTGCTGCACGACGATGTTCTTCTTCTTGAACACCCGACAGATGACCCACCCGTCCTCCTGTGCCGACGACGACTGGTCCCTGGGCACGCCGTGAACCTGCGCATATCATATGGATAACACCGTCAATTAATTTACAATCAGATCGATCGGTCGAGAAAATGGATTATTTGCCCAACTTTACTTTTAACTTTGATCATTTTTATAATTTTGTGAAGTCTGGTTATGTCTCGGTCGGTGCTATATTCGTTTGATCTTACGTGAAGATCCGTGCAATTTTTTTTTAGCTTTTTCTTTTTTCTTTTCATATACTATGTCATTTGACTAAGACTTAGTTAAATCTTAGTCGACTGCGACCCAGCCACACACTATTTTTATTGTAATTAGAGTAGCTAAGCTAATTATGCATGGTGTTGAATTTGCGATGGAAGGTACTCCTACTACCGAAGCCAGCTCAAAAGGCTCAAAGGGTCTTTGTCGATGGATCTCAAATATATCCATGCATGCATGTAGGCCCTTTATCGAGAAAAAAAATGCATGCATGCACATAGGGTTTTACCATAGAAAAGGCTCGCTCGGCAATGGAGGTCGGAAAATAATTCTATGAGACCAGGTCTCATATAATT